ATCTGATTGGTGCCAGAAAATCTTTGTGTTTTTCTGCCCTATCAGAGTAAGGTGTACTTTAGAAACCTTTCGTGTGTTTTAACACGGACATATATCCTGGTAGCTCAGTTGCTCGCTATGTTTGTTTGGACCGTGCGACGGAGATTTGCTTGAAGTGAAAAGTTTCCGTCTCAACAAACAATGTAAGAGAAATCGATCATATTGTCCGCGAAAATTTTTACCAGAAATTATACTGAATAGTATCACAGGTATCACTAGAGAACGTGTTTTCAAGTTTGCGAGGTTTGTATACAACACGATGGTTGCAGTCATTGATATGTCGCTTTAAACGTTAAACGAGATTTAAGCTTAAATCTTTCTAGATTTTTTGCATAATTTGCTGTGACTGAAACTTTGCCAATCCCGTGAAGTTATTTCGTCGCACGGGCCACGCAGGTATGTCGAGCAACTGGTACTAGCGTATCTTTCCGTGCGTGCCAAAATCTAATCCAATCTACGCTTGAAAAAAAAGAAAAGCTAAGCGTGGAAACTTTTGCTTATTAGATGTGGGTAGATGACCCTGTACTACTAAGCTGACATTTGCAATAAAGCAAACCCGCCCTTTCCATCCAATATTTCTTGGTCTTTGGTTTTGTTTTTCCCATTGAAAGCAGCATCGGATCGATTCCCAATGATCAAAGGGACTAGAGGAGAATCCGTGACCTTCCTAGCTCAAGAATTTCAACACTCTCGGCAGCAGTTGAAAGATTAAACTCTTTCCAAACCCCTTCGGTAACTGCCCGAAAACATCTCTTCTTCCCACGATGTTCTCGTTAATAAGTTTTTGTTCAGATTTTAATTAGCTAACCGGAAACACAACTAAGCTTTCTCTTAGCGCCTGCTGGAGGTCGTCCACGAACTTAACTTCCCTGCAACCTTGGCCGTATTGTGAACGAGTTTACTACAAAGTGAAGATTAGATTTTGGCGCGCACAGAGAGCAGAAAGCTACTTGGGCGAAAGCGCAAGTTACTCGACATACCTGCGTGGCCCGTGCGACGAAATAACTTCACGGCAAAGTTTCAGTCACAGAAAATTATGCAAGAAATCTAGAAAGATTTAAGCTTAAACCTCGTTTAACGTTTAAAGCGAAATAGCAATGACTGCAACCATCGTCTTGTATACAAACCTCGCAAACTTTAAAACACGTTCTCTAGTGATACCTGCGAAAGTATTCAGTATAATTTCCGGTAAGATTTTCGCGGACAATCTGATCGATTTCTCTTACATTGTGTGCAGAGACTGAAGCTTTTCACCTCAAGCAAATCTCCGTCACACGATCCAAACAAGCATAGCGAGCAACTGAGCAACTAGTATATGTCCGTGTTAAGACACACGAAAGGACTCTAAAGCACACTTCACTCTGATTGGGCAGAAAAACACAACGATTTTCTGGCACCAATCAGATGGCAGAATGACTACGACCGTTTGGAGCTAGTCTTGTAAGACAGTGTCCCCAGGGGCTCTTCCTGCCCTAAATTGAAATCGACCCACAGCCCCTGGGTCTCCGAGGATGCCTCACTAGCTGTCAACCTCGTTCCCAGTGTCCTTTCTCTTCCTCCCTAGGAGAGAGCATCTTGGGGGCGAGGTTGAACAGCTTCTCGAACACAAACTTCATCAACAGTTATTTAACTAAGCAATTATCATCCTTCACAAGCAACAGAATGAGAAAAAAAATTCATTTTATGAAGGAATTATCTTAGCTGAGCAGAAGTTATCGGCCATTGAAGAGACACGACTTAGTTGGGCGCTTTCCATTTGACCAAAATTTTCGAGATTTCCGGTCTGAAATTGAATGGAACGGGAAAAGTTCCGGGATAAGTTTTCGAAAATTTAGGAATACGTTTTGAGTATGCCCTCTTGGATATGGTCTGACGCGTTCCATTCGACCAGCGAAAAGACCGAAATTTTGAACCGGTGATTTTTGTTGAATGAAAAGCGCCCGTTGTTTGCCTTCGCTCTTTGCACGGAATATGAAATATACATTGGGAAACACTCTGTGTACTTTTTTTACAAAGACAGCAATTGCTCTCCATTGAAATCTGCAGAGCAAAAATTACTCAGTCCCTGTTTATTTGAAAGCGACTCAATTCATAATGAAATATATTTTGCCATTTTAAATATACTTATTACAACACCTTTATCTACATAAAATGTGTTCAGATGTCATCCGAATAGAAAGTCTACTTGAGCAAGCCATCCATTTGCGAAATTGCCTGTCAAAATGACAAAACAAACTCTCAAAGCATTCATTCAAAAATGCATCCCTACAGCTGCCAAACTAAAACTGACAATTTCTTCCTATGTAAACCTTACAGGTTGCACGCTATCTTTTTTTTTTGGTTCTATCTTTGAGTCGATTTGAAGCTCATAGCGCCAGTGCTTCTCTGTCCTCAAGGTAGGTGACTTTTTCACAATTTAGTGACGAAATTAATTTAAGTCTCTCAGTAACAATCTTTTCTTCTGATTGTACTAGAAATTTCGTTTTCCGTGTTCGTTATGGAAAGTCTTTAGATGTATAAATTAATGAAGACAATTCGAGTTTTCCAGGTTGGGACCATATGGCTCAAAGCGGAATAAAAATGCATTGGAGGTGCAATTATAACTTTCGACTGGTATTATAATAGATTTAAATGTCTGCCCCCTACAAAAAGAGAGAGTTCCCTAACTTGACCTAGGACTTCGTAGTTTATCACATGTAAAGTGGGTTATATTTGTTTTCATGTCCTGCATAGCAATTTTGCAATGGGAGGCTGGTCACTATACTCTATTTATTTGCGACTATGTGGCTTGCAAAGTGAACCGAGCTTGTGGTTAGTGTTGTTCGACCATCCAGTTCCGAGATACAGCAGAAGTTGAAAACACATTCGGCGTGTTATTTTTCTCTTCTTTGCATCAAACTTAAGTGCAATTAGTTTTACAAATGAGTCGTGGTTTGGTCAGATGCATCATATTTAACCCTTAGTGAAGACAATTCAAAATTCGATAATTAATTTTTCAGTAAATATTACGTTTAATCATTTTTCGTACTTTGTCTTTTCCAATCAGGATACGAATGAAGGAAAAACAGGTTATCACGCTCTCAAAAAAAGGAAAAAATAACTTACAGCGACGAAAAACATCATTTCCGTACCAAAATGCTTTTATTGGACTAAATATAATCCTTATAGCAGCAATCGACATTCCATTCCTCGTAAGCCCTTATCAAAAATTTCAAAATATCATATTCCAGAAGTTTGAAATTTAAAATGAAAAAAACCTAGTTGAGAATGACAACACTACAATGCGCTGCGTATATAGAGGTTTGCACAGCAGCCATGTTGGATGGCAGGAACAATAGATTATTTTTCCCATAGGAAAAAAATTTCTTTCATATGCAAAATATTTTCATTGTTCCTGCCATCCAACATGGCTGCTGTGCAAAACCTCTATTCAACAACCGAAACAATTTTAGTGACCCGACACATAGTTCTGGCTTGATTAAAAAGCTCGCAGACAAAGTTATCAGCTGCGATCGAAAGTCAAATTCAGGTTAAATGAGATTTTAGGACTGATTGTGAGAAAAACAGATCTGCTAAAAAAAGAGAACATTAGTCGTTATCAGAACATTAATTGAGGAAGACGTTCCTTTGGGAATAGGAAGAAACGTTCTTCAATGTTTGCCAAGAGCCGTTTACCATCTATGTAGTCAGAATTTTTTTTAATATTTGTTGAGGCACAGCCGTTTGATAGGACCATTTGCTGTAATTAGAGACTCAGTTTAACGGGGATTCTTTATCAAACTTTGACGAGAAGGGTAAGTGTTCATTTTCTTCTTATAGGTCTAAAAATGGAGAATTTCACAGCGAAATCCTCAGACCACGATAGTTCCCCCTCATCACACAAGATCGAAGCTGCTATATGGTGTCCTGTGTTTACGATCGAAGCCTCTGTCATAGTAATAGGAAACCTTCTGACCGTCATTGTCTTTGCACGGGATTCCCGCGTAAGAAAGCCAAGCTCTTATCTAATTATCAGCTTAGCGCTGGCGGACTTGTGCATCGGCTTATTTGTTTTGCCGCTATGGATTTATCAGTTGACAGGCTTGGGTGAGCTGTGGCACACCATCACTTTCCTGACGGTGGACACTTTTGCAAGTGTTGCCTCGATCTCAAACCTGGCTGCCATATCACTGGAGAGGTTATACGCAACCATGTTACCATGGAGACATCGTGCGACTTCAAAATTCCGGGTTCTGTTCTTTATTGCCTCTATTTGGGTGTTATCTGCCGTCATTTCGAGTTCGTTTGCGGTTGCACGTTTTGCGTATTCATCACCATTGGGTGCCCTGTTCTCCTGGTTGCCCTACATTTGCCTCTTGTTGCTGGTAATCTGTGGCTCATACTCAGCTCTCTTTATGAAAGTGCGACGAGCTGACCAACGTAGATCGGACAGAGAGCGCAAACTAACGGTGACTTTGTTTACGGCCACATCTCTCTCCATAGTGGCGTATCTTCCAATGATTGTACTTGGCGTTATGTACTTCGCTTTCAACAGAAAAATGAGCGATCTTTTCATAAACATTTTAAGCCTTTTTAACTTTGGGAATTCTCTAATGAATCCACTTTTGTACTCATTCAGGATGCCGGATTTTAGGAAGGCAGTTTGTTCATTGTTTGGCATTCGTCACCAGGATCCACGGACACGCCAGATTGCATATTTAAATGATAGAGCGTCGCCTTTGTCTTATAACTTGACCGCGGCTTCACCAAGGATGAGTCCAGTGTCCAGACTCCCCAAGGCAGTTGACGAGCTTTTTGAATTAAGTTGAACTATGTTGATAAATTCTTACTGTCAAAATTGTGAAGTACGGCAAGTGTAACAGTGCTAGTCCATTTCTCACGGATTACGAGATACGAGTTCAAGTTTCCTTTATGCGACTATTTGCTGTCATACTATTTCCAAATATCAGTCTTAACACTTTGCATACTAAGTGAACACATATGTCCAGATGATACCGTTACCACTTTTGATACTTGTTTCTTGTCGAACTTAAGACACAACATTATGTAAGTGTGTAAATTGTACCGGCTCGTTGATGTGACACCTATTGCAACCTAAAACGCCCACAATGATTCCTGATTTTCTTTGCAGTGAACCGTTCGTATGGCAACAAATCCCAAAGTCCAGCATTTTGCTCCAAGAGCAACACCAAAAACATGTCGATCTTTTAAGATAAAAACTTGCTAAAAAAACCAAAAGTTTGCGTTCAAATCACACCTCAGGGCCATATCTTGGAGTTTGGTAAGAAAATTCCTTCTTACTTTCTCTGCCAGCCCTTGTTTCTCCAATTGATGAAAGCCAGTGTCGCGAACACAACCGTTGCCTTGTTCATGCCCGAAAAGAATTCTGGGTAATCCCGCCATAGCTCGGAAAGGCAACTCCTATCGTTTCCATTTCAAAGAATTATTAGAATCGTGTCGGGCCATCCACTCCTACCAGCAAAATATCGCATCGATTGAATTTTTTACCTGTCAAAACTTGGCCACATAGCCTTGGTAGAGACAACTTCACTTGTGAACTCGCCAAGCTGGCAGTAAAGCATCGTTGGCGGTCCACTCTACATGAAACCATCTCTCACCTCTGTTTCCCTACAGAGGCTTACCTCTACCCACATTCCAGCCTAATGATGCCGTCCTGAGGGCTTCTGTAGAGGGAAAATGGCTCGAAAAACAATTATAAACGGCCAGAAAAGCGAGAAACCGAATCGATTTGAACGCACCCAAACACGAACTGTTGATCTAGGTCATGCGACCCCAAGGTCTAAGCCCATGGTGTCTCAAAACCGCAAATATTGTAACGGATTATCCATAAACGAACCAACGAAGTGAGGTTAAGTTTGCATCGCCAAATTACAACTGAATAAATATGGTCTATTTCGTATTCAAAGGGTAATACGAAAGCCCCTTATGTTTGTCTTGAAAGCGTCCAGTCCGAACCGTTGCTGGGGGTGGTGTAAAAATATTGTTAGGCAAGCAGACAAAGAAGGTGTTACAGTTTCGTCCTCTTTGATCAAAATGGTTTCAACATTCATGACTGAGACGATGTTTTACAGATACCACAACCTCGTTCCCAGGGTCTCTAATCTCCCAGCCCTCTGGAGCTCGCTCCAGACGGCGGGAAGATGAGAGACCCTGGGAACGAGGTTGCAGATACCATTGCAGGAGCCATTTTAGAGTAGAGAGGGTTTTCCATACTCTAATGATTGGCATCAATGTTTCATTCGAACCACTAATGGAAACAGAGTTACAAGGGAAAAAAAATTCCAACGGTGAACATATAATAATTAATGTAATGGTGCTGGGTGTGAGGCCAAAAGTATAATTTGTGAAAAAATATGGGGGTTGATTTACAAACAAATAACAAACGACAGAAACGCTAATATCACAAATAATGACAATAAGAAAAAGTCTACACCATTGGATAATCAAGGTAAGTGCGTCATGTAGAATGATATTGGCTAGGTTCCCAATGGTCAGTGGAGACGAATAAATCAGCGAGCAAGAGAAAATCGGCGAAAGATTTGAGGACGAATTCTTCCTTCCTTGGTTCCCTTCCGTTTTCTCTCTCGTTCGCCCTGCGTCTTCTTTCGTTCCACAAACCGACCGCCTCGATCAGATGTTGCCGCTACTTGAGACTACCCAACCAAGGGTGCATCGATTTAGAGAACTGATATTGCACTAAGAATGACGAGTCAGTCACTTTATTGCTAACACCAAAACCACTCAACTCGACTACAACAATTACATTGCTACAATATACTGATATGATTAAGAATACGATGTCAGCAAGCTAGATCATGATTGGACAAGAAAACGCAGTTAAAACTAGTGCTTGGCCGCTGTGTTCTTCCCGTGACTCCCTGTGCGCCTTGGTCTACCAGATGTCACCCTCTTCTTACGCAAAAACCTAATTAGCGACCCGGTAAGAGTCTGAATGCATCCAATGAGCGATGAGAAACGGCTATGTTATAATTGTTTGAGTAGGACTGAAGATAAAGAGAAACATCGAGTTGACCCATTAAAGGCAAATCTGATAAGTTGACATAAGCATGACTTTTAAAGACACTAACATCATTTAAAAGGTGTGTTCACTTCAGAACTAAAACATATTTGGCGCAATCAAGGAAACTTTTTCGCTTCCCCTAGTCTCAAACTTTGGTTCCTTTCCTCAAAATAAAAGCTACTTAAAACCAGGGATTGGCGGAAAACCAACTGCGCTTCAAGTTAAACAAGAAAGAGAAAGGAAGAGAGAAAAGAATTTTGAGGCAAACCACTACACTCATAGGAAATATTGACTGAAAAATCCTGCTCTGTTTCATATTCATATAAATTTGAAATAGTTTGGCCTTAAAACAAACAAACAAACAAACAAACAAACAAACCAAAAAGAATTTTCCGCATCTTCGTTTTTAAGATTTGCCGTGTTCAATCTAACTTTTTCCTGGTCGAACTAAATATGCTTCAGCCTACCGTGAACACATTAACCAATCTAATCAAATCTACCTTAAATCGAATCTTATCGGTGAATATTAATTAATCAAACCCCACTAAAAAACCCCGTATCCTTACATCAATTTTTCACAATTTAAAATGGAGAGTCTCCGTTGACGTTTATGCGGAACGTATCCACGCCTCATGTGACGCATGCGTGTTTGATACCCTAGGACCTGCCTTAGCAAATACTACAAAGAAGCGTGGATCTTCCGTTAAAACACTCAAAGTATGTACTACCCTTGGTTGTTTTGTTTCCTATCCACAATAAAGTATTCAATATTCCATGAAACTAAAAACAAACAAACAAACACAGACAAAACGCACATCGAATGATCACTGCGCGTGTGATTTCTCTCTCTCACGTGACAGTATAAGTCACTCGCACGCGGTTGTAAAGAGCACCCGACATACAAGGGCTCTGATTCTTCATATGAATGAGCCGGCCTAGCCAGCAAATCCCAGCTGATATATATATAGTTTGCACTAAAATAGGTAAATATTATCATGAGAAACCTTGCTTTCTCTAGATTCAAATAATGTAACCATGCTTTATATATTAATGACTGTTCCTTACACTAATGATTTCAAGCTGTTCCCCTTGTTAGAAAAATCTGGACCGATGACAAGAAAATTAGCATATGTTATAGGACTACATGCTGTCCAATTTGGAAATAACTGGATGAAAAAAAATTCTTAGGACAGCCAAAACTGTACGAAGCCGTAGGCAAAGTCCAGTTTAGCTGTCAGAGGAATTTTTTGAATCCAATTATTTCCAAAATTGGACAAGCATGCAGTCCTCCAACTTAATAATTATATAGCTATTCAGTTGTAATTCGGCGTTGCTTAGTCAAGCTATTATTCTCTAATGTTTTAAAACTGTCCAATTAAGAGTTAATTTGGATAGTTTCAAACTAAATTAATCCTTATTAGAGAGGTTATAAACAATTAAAGAATAATAGCTATGCTTACAATTTCGGATTAATTACCACTTAAAGAATTAATAACACGTTGCTACCCTACATGCCACCTAGGTGTAAAGAGGAAGAAATTAACTGAACTGAACTATACAATGAATAGGTCAATGTAAGAAATATTTAGGTAAATTTCTTAGGGGCATTTCTTGAAAATAATTCGGGCTACTAAGTTAAACTCATCTACACTTTTTCATCCAGGAATGATCAATACATCAGTAATATATGCGTTTTTTGGGTCAGCGCCACGGATCAAAAGGCTCTCGCTTAAGCGTTCTATCCTGTTACGTGTACTTCACGATCCCTGTCTCACTAGCCAATCAGATGTCACGAAAAATTGGTTTCTTCCCGAAGCCGTTGATTCTTGGGGCTGACCTAAACAACCACAGCCCTGGAAAACAGACTGTATCTATATTGCCGATACATACAAAGGTTCTATCTTTTTCGAACATAAAACAGAAGGGTCTTGCACAGCCGAACTTTGGAATGTCACGCAACGCATCCATCAAAAGGAAAAAAAAGGTCGGACGAAATGTTGCGTGACACCCCATAGAAAGGCGGGGAGGTAGATTGAAGAATCGGTTGTGTGACTTGTGACATAATCTTCGTAACATGACAAAATTAATGCTTGACAACTCCATTCTCATGAGCTGGTTCGTGGTTGACATTGTACATACAGTCCAAGAAACCCCATGCTATCTCATTCACAATGGATCTATCCGGAATGCTCTGGGACATACCATAGATGGCAGACTATAATACAAGCAAAAAAGTCAATAAGTGACACGTTTTGGTCTTCTTCTTTTTCTTCTTCTTCTTCTTCTCCTTCTTCGTGCAGGTTCAAGCTGTCTAAAAAGAATCACCTACAAAGGGCTCTGTTCGATTTAAGTAAGATTCTTTCAATAAAACCTGTTTTAATCGGAGCTGCAGTATTTTCGAAGTAGTTTAAAATGTCCAAGGAGCAGTTTGAAGAGCTGATATCATATGCACACAAATATTTTTTTCTTTGGTAAAACCTTAACTTAGAAACATTAATGACGAAACTGAATGAAGTGACGGACTAATCCACACAGTGGCAGATCAACTGCATTTGACCAAACTGCAGACAGAGAGGCCTGAAAAAAATTCCGGCTTTGACAGTGTTCCTCTCGGATACTAGTTGGGAGCAACTACCATCTGAACGGCGAAAACATGCCCAGATCCGAACATGAACCTTCGAGGTTCGTTTGCTAATGGCCCTGGACCCTTAAAAGGAAGGCACGAGATCGAACCCTGTCGAAACTTGATCTAATTTTTGGGCCTTTTCGCCGCAATTTCTTTAACTCAGTTTAATCTGAATATGAAAGCAATCTTCGCAGTAATGAGCACTACCTAAACAGAAGTGAAAATAAGGTCTGAAAAAATCGAGGCCTGTACGGGATTTGAACCCATGGCACCCGATTCGCTTTTAATCTACCGCTTATAAGCGAATCTAATTATTTCAAATTACCGCATACATGCTGATAAAGTAGGCCCTATTTACCTACCGAGATTAGATTACCGAGAACAAAACAAAGGCCAAAACAAAACAAAACAAAGGAAAACAAAACAAAGGAAATGATTTCAGAATGTTTTTCTGTTCTTCAGTAATCTTCACGCGTGGAATTTTATCCATGATCTCTTTATACCAGATGTAAAAGCGATGAATTTTCCTCTTTCGCTTAAACCTTGTCAAAAGAACAGAAAAACATTCTGAAATCATTTCCTTTGTTTTGTTTTCCTTTGTTTTGTTTTGTTTTGGCCTTTGTTTTGTTCTCGGTAATCTAATCTCGGTAGGTAAATAGGGCCTACTTTATCAGCATGTATGCGGTAATTTGAGAATAATTAGATTCGGTTATAAGCGGTAGATTAAAGGCGAATCGGGTGCCCATGCCCTCTGCGATACCGATGCAGTACTGGGAGCTAATTTGGTTAAATCAACTAAGTTGAAATTGTAAATTGGTCACCGTAACGAATAAAAAAGCTGACGTTTCGAGCGTTAGTACTGGGAGCTGGTCTTTATGTTGGTTCGTAATAAAGCCGTGAACTGATGAGTCAATGATTGTGAATATATGAAAATCATTTAGGTGAACTGCGGTTTAAGAAATGAATATGAAAGCGATCTTCGCAGTAATGAGTAGCAGTTCACAGATATGATTTTCATATATTCACAGTCATTCAATTCAATATGAGATGATCACTTTGTTGCTGTTTATCATCAACAGATCAAAATTCGTTTTACTTCATTTATTTGTGCCAACGGGATATCTCACCATGCCACTTGATTTTGCTGAAGGATCTTTCAGAATTGCAGCGGTACATTCTCTGACGTCCTTAATGAACTGATCGGCCACACCTGGCTGTGTGTTTAGGTACGTCACACAAATATGAATACTGGAAAAAACAACAAAATTACAAAACATCAACTGTGGACAGATACTCGGAGGATTTCAAAATTTAGCACTTGAAATCATTGTGCATTTGATAAAGCATTTGAGAATAAAGCATATTACAATCCACCTCGTTCCCAGGGGTCCTCTCTCGTCCCCGAGGGAAAGGACCCTGGGAACAAGTTAATTAAAAATGCCTACGAGATTTTCAAGTGCACTTTATGACGATGCTGTTCGCTATATTTCTGAAAGAAACAGATGATACAAACCTTGAAGGGAATTGAAGAGTATTTAGATGCCAGCCTTTCTTGGTGAGAGCATCCCCCAGGTGGTAAACATCAAAATCGTGCGAAGCAAAAGCCACAACACTCACTTCAGGTTTCCCAAGAACATAAACACCTTTGATCTTTCTTAAGCTGCAGTGGTAAAGAAAAACTTCCATTCACTAAGTACAAACAAACATCGATGAGTTTCCAATTTTATTACCATTTTCATTTCATTCTACGTTCTATAACAAAGATTTATGGAGCTTAAGTCACATGATTAACTCTTTAACTCCCGAGACATCAATATCAATTCTCTCTTATGTCTGCCATATATTTTTCGGACTGAAAATCAGCGAAAAAAGAAAAGGCGTTTTAAAAATGAACCTTAAACACAAAACCACAAATCTTCCTCACCCATCCTCAATTTTCTTTCTAGTCGAGATAATTTTTCTTGTGCTCTCAACATAACCTGGAAAGGGAAAAAAAAAAAGATTTTGTATTGATTGTGGCATATCAAAATTAATTACCCTCTCACTCAAACATTTGAAATCTCGTTGTCTACAAAAACCATCCACTTAATGGCTTAGTATTCCATACCAGCTTCTCCATAGTAAATCATTGTAGCCCATGTTGATGCTATGACTGCACCCGGTCGACTGCCAGGTATTGATGGACAGGCGTAGATTCCTCCTTGCCAATCAGGTGCAACAAAATACTAAAGGAAAAAACCCAATAAATCCACTGTTATGAGCTGCACCCTTAAAACACAAGGTTTAATGTACAAGTGCGTTTCATTTCATGTAAACAAAGCAGCTTTTGAAATGTCCACTCAACACCTTATGGAAAACTCAACCTTTCTCCAAGGCTAAAGCTCGAAACTTCAGCTTTAAGAATCTCTTTTCACACAATCAACCCTAGTTCATAAAACCAAATTATCTTTTAATTTTACACCCATCACCGACGCAGCACAACAGTTTCTCTATTATTTTTCTCACAAACTTCAATTAAAGGTCTATGTCGATGTTGCTTTATTTTTACAAGTGTGTAGCTGGTGTAACTAAATCTCTTTCATTATTTTTCTGGTGGCAAAACAGCAAACTACCTGCAGACTTACAGTACAGGTACAATTTGGTATACTGCACTTGCCGTGTAACATGAGAATCTCACTCATTTTAACCTTCGAGCAAATTTGGTGGAAAGTCGGTAATCAGTAATATTGCTCCCTCCACAAAAAAAAAATAAAATAAAAATTCACGTGAATTCATGCAGCTGTAGAAATTTACTTCCTCTAGCTGCAAGGAATTAACCACAAGGTAGGGATACAATTTTGGTTTTATTTTGTAATTCTGAGTCCTTCACGAAGCAGTTTTAAGAATTAGGAGTATCTCCTATTAAATGTCTCTTAGAAGCAAACTTTGCTTTAAATCAACTTACCTGGAAGTGCCTGAGATGCTTGTTACTGTACATAATAACTGAGGATCCTTTGGGTGAGAATCCATACTGAAGACAGAAAAGACAGTCATCACTTAGCTTCAAAGTGGAAAACAGCAAACAACTTCTACAATTGTGAATAGGATAAGAAAGATGGTACGTTTTGAGGTTGGAAAAGAAATAGAGAAAAATGTTTTCTGCTGTGTCATGTGAGTGGGTCAAATGGGCCTTGCCCACCAAACAGTCCCTGTGGCTCAGTGGTACATCATAGGAATACAGAATCTGAAGATCTGAGGTTTGATTCCTTGTGGGGAATCAGAATTTTCCTTAGTCCCTCACTTGTGGCAAGACAAAAAAACATCTTATTCTAACTTAAACAATTATATAAATTTTGTGGGAAAAAAGAGACATGAATACTAGTAGGACACAAGAAGCTCAACAAATTCCACTTTGCAACAGATATGGAAATTGAGTTGATAAAATATAAACAGAAGCTATTCAAAAAATGTAGCATTTTGACCCACCTTGTGAGTATCACAAGATATACTTGTTACTCCATCTACAGAAAAATCAAATGGAGGAACACTAAAGCTGCAAGAATGAACAAAAAATATGCAACATTAGCATCCATATTATTTAATACAAAAGCAGAATCGATGAAATGTAAACCCAACTTTTTATATGTGAATGGGGGAAGTAGCCATATTCCTGGAAACTTCATATTTTGAAGAGCAGGATAAGCTCACATGTAGGCTGGCAGGATATTTAATCTTTTACCTTTTAAAAAAATTTACATGGCGCTACTTCTTTTACTACCCAATCGCCCCTTACAATAATTTAAAAAATATCTCACCCAGAAATATCTATTTAACATGAGTAAGATAAACTAATTAGTGAATTAACTAAGCTGTAGGATGTCCCTTCTGGCTTGCAGGTTATCTTTAGCCTTTACCCACTTTTTACTCATATGAAAGCATTGCGAAGGATTGTGTTATAACTGAGACATACCCAGCTTTTTTCATAAATGGTATCAGAAAACCACCAAGGCAGGCATCCACATGACAACCCAGATTATACTTTTTGGCGAGTTTGGCTATTTCTTCAATTGGATCTATAACACCATGAGGAAACTGAGGTGCTGAACCACAAAGCTGAAACACAGAAAGGACATTCATGTATTAATTGGAAATAGAGAACCCGTAACAGTCCTTTAATAGGAACTGCAGTACTTGGATGTACATGTAGCCTATAAGGCAAAAATGAAGACAGAGGGGAAGACAGTCTCATAAAGAAGACAAAAAAAATCAGAAAAAAAAAAAAGAAACTAAAACCAAAACAAACCATGAGTGAACCACAGACAAACATTTAACAGACAATGGTCCACATAATACCATAACCTGCCATCAGACATGCCTTTTTTCAGCAGATAGCAACAGAGTAGCCATTTTTTAACCCTTTAACTCCCAGAAGTGATTGACCTGTAACTTCTCCCTATAATATCCATACATGATCCAGCAAACAGGTAATGAGAATACTCAAACTTATCAGGTAGAAATTGTCACCTTGATTGAACACCAAATTCTCCTAACCAATTTACAAGGAAATGTGTCACAGCCAGAGGGGAGAATTCATAATCAGATCTTGGGTGTTTAAGGGTTAACCAGTTAAGCAATACTCCACATTTTCGACTTGCAGCAATCAACTAGTGAAGATCTATCACTGCAGACTTTCTATCTATTTCAGTTTTCCCCAACTCTTGTGCTGTTCTTGGACACCCAAGCCTGACTACAGGTCACAAGAACTGTCAATAGGACACAAGACAAAGACAGAACAAGCAACCACGACACAAATAGCTCACAAACTGCAGAACTCAAGAACTGTCAATAGGATACAAGAGAAAGACAAAACAAGCAACCACGACACAAATAGCTCACAAACTGCAGAACTCAATTGAACCTACTAGAATGGTATTCTTTGTTATTTCTCTCCGCATGGCCTGCAAAAGTCAAACAACAGGGACATTATTTGATTGAGTTGCAAACCTTTAAGCTTTGGTCTTAAAAACTTTGCACTTAAGTAAGGTTCAAGCTGCACAATTAACACTTGTAAAGACTACTTCTTACCTTGATGTTAACTTTTCTTGTTTTCTCATCAACAGGAACATGAACAAGCTTTATATTGAAATAGTGAGCTGCCTATCAAACCAAGAAGACAACAGAGTAGAGGGGATACATTTCTAAAAAGACCGTGGTGCTGCATTGGTGGGCATAGCATAAGAAGACAACTTTGGTTTATCAACTGAATTAATAAGTGTAAATTGGCCACCAGAAAGAGTTTCAAAGCAGACATTTCAAGCATTAGATTTTTGTCCGAATGAAAGAGCTGACAAAGGGCTTTGAAATTCCTTATGGTGGCCAATTTCCATTATCAACTCAGTTGATAAAACCAAAATTACAAGAAGACAACAGCTTGAGGACAAGAACTACATGAAGACTATACTCACTGAATGTACATGTACAGCTTCTATGGCATATACACTCAATGACTTAAGTTGAGCTCAGAGAAGAACAAACAAAGAACCAATAAAAAATACACAAACAGAAGCAAAATGAAGCAAAGGAAAATTATTTTATCTTATTTCAATTTGTTTGGCTACAAGCACTGGAGCAAACTCAACTAGCTTAAGCTTAAAATGGTCGTGGTATATAGAGTATGAGTAAATGTACCTTATCAAATGCTGCATGAATACTTATTGGTACCACTCTGAAAAATACAAGTATGTATCTTTTTTTTTTTTCAAATATGAATCAAATCTATAGCAAGCACACAGTAACTGATTTAACAAATTACAAGTTACATTTTTCCCAAAATGTTGCCACTTGACTTATAAGTGTTGCAGCTATCCCTATACAAATGTTGGTGCAAGTGTAACCAAATAAAATTCATAAATGTTTCATTGTGTCTAATTAAGCTGGGGATTTAAGAGTTCTCCCATAAAATTTCACTACCTCAAGCTTTTTTGTTTTTATCTAGGTGTGGCAAACATTGACCAGTTACTTTTCTGCATGAAAACCTGTATTTTTTCAGACCTACCTTATGTGAACAACACAGGATAGTACTTACATTTCTGGGTGTGTTATTCCACGATCGTGTGCCCAGTCACGATATGCTTTGCATGCCATCAATATGCTCTCAGTTCCTCCACTCGTCATCTACAATTAATAAAAGACAATAATTATAATCATTACATAACTATAGTTGTGAATGTCCTCCAGAATTCTGAATAAAACAGTGACAAGGATACTTCAAATTCATCAATGCATAAAACCTAATATCAAATTCATAGTACTGGTATTTAATAATAATCCTAATTGAAAGCTAGCTTGTTAATTGAATAAAATATTTCTTGAACATGCCAGACCCTTAAAACAGGAGGAGAATCTCTTCAAGCAAAACTCTGTAGTTCAGGTAAGAATAATGACAGCCTCATTCTTATGTTGCACAGTGGGAATGCAACTGTTGGCAAGACTAGGATTTATTGCATTATTTCTTTCATGGTTCTTACTGTTCCACATGCATCCTTCCCTCCTTGGTACATATTAACACACATCTGAACAACTTCTGCTTCCATCTTGCGTACTGTTACATATAAAAAATAATTAAAATCATTTTCATGACACATGATGAAATTCCATGAAATTAAAAGTCTAATTAATATAAATTATATAATTTATAAATCTATATATCTCAATTTCTATGCATGCTATGATTGGTCAATTTAGCACTGTACAGTCTGCTAAATTTAAAAGTTTGTTTGAATTGAACCTTCCCTCTCTATTTGAACCCAAAAAATTAATACCAAAAATATCTTGCTTAACTTATTTTCTAGGTCCATACTGAACGTTGCTTTGTGCTTGGGCCACAAATCAGAAAAACTTAATCTGTAACTTATAGTATGGACCTCAAACTCAGTTAGGTTAGGTTACATTGTTAGCTGATTACTTACCATCAGGAAAAATATCCACATGAAGTGGATTGGCCCAGGTGAACTTTGAATAGACCTATAGGTAAAATAATTAAAATCTTCAGAGGACTGACGCTGTTTCTGATAAAGCTCTATGTTAGCACAGGAGTTCTGGCTAAGTATCAAATTAAATACTGTTAGCAGCTATGGCCATAATTGTAAACTTCTTCAAGCCTACACATGTATAGTTATCCACAACAAGACTGATAGAACATAAGGGTCTTAAATCTTTTTTAATAGTCCATTTTACAGTTGTGTGCTTGGTTGCCAAGCCTTTGAATGGGAGTGAGGCTAGGGTTGACCTTGTTATGATACAAACCTTGCTGCCTTTCAAATGTAAATCACTTTGTTATCATGCTAAGTAGATACAGGTCTCTATCACAACAAGGTCACCTTCAGCCTCACTCTGAATCAAAGGCTTGGCAACTAAGTACACAACTGTAAAATGGCCTATTCAGATGAGTCTAAAATTCATTTCCCAAAGTTTTAAAATGGCTCTAAACAAGCCCTTCTTTCTTTACCTTTGTAAGCACTTCAGTGAGTTCTTTTCCTCCAGAATATATTGCTCCAGAAACACGTCCCTCCTCCCATTTCACTTCACCTACAGTAAATGGTCATGTTAACAAGCGAGAGGCCAATAAAATTAAAGAATTAAACTTCATATTACGCACAAAATCCTCATAAACATTATCAAATGATTTCCCAGGATGAAGATAGGTAGAAGTTCAACTGCTGTGTAGCTTGCTTTTAACCCTATAAAATCTAACCGCCTCCCGGTTAGCTCAACCGCCTCCCAGTTAGCTCAACAACCTCCCGGTTAGCCCAACCGCCTCCCGGTTAGCCCAACCGCCTCCCAGTTAGCCCAACCACCTCCCGGTTAGCTCAACCGCCTCCCGGTTAGCTCAACCGCCTCCCGGTTAGCTCAACCGCCTCCCGGTTAGCTCAACCGCCTCCCGGTTAGCTCAATCGCCTCCCGGTTAGCTCAATTGGTAGAGCGTTGGACTGTTGTGTGGGAGGTTGTGAGTTCAAATCCGGCTGGACCAACACTCAGGGTCTTTAATTAACTGAGAAGAAAGTGCTCCCTTTGTTATAATATCTGCAAATGGTTAGACCTTCTAGTCTTCTCGGATAGGGACAATAAATGGAGGTCCCATCTCCTGCAGGGCTGGGGTAGGAGACGTTAATTTCCCACAAACGAGATTACTGTGTGATGGTGTCCTCCCCGGGGTGGGATGGGTGGGTAATAAAGGGGTTAGGTGTCAATTAGAACGAAAGTTCTGTTCCTTTCTCCTGCCATTCCNCCTCCCGGTTAGCTCAACCGCCTCCCGGTTAGCTCAACCGCCTCCCGGTTAGCTCAACCGCCTCCCGGTTAGCTCAACCGCCTCCCGGTTAGCTCAACCGCCTCCCGGTTAGCTCAACCGCCTCCCGGTTAGCTCAACCGCCTCCCGGTTAGCTCAACCGCCTCCCGGTTAGCTCAACCGCCTCCCGGTTAGCTCAATCGCCTCCCGGTTAGCTCAATTGGTAGAGCGTTGGACTGTTGTGTGGGAGGTTGTGAGTTCAAATCCGGCTGGACCAACACTCAGGGTCTTTAATTAACTGAGAAGAAAGTGCTCCCTTTGTTATAATATCTGCAAATGGTTAGACCTTCTAGTCTTCTCGGATAGGGACAATAAATGGAGGTCCCATCTCCTGCAGGGCTGGGGTAGGAGACGTTAATTTCCCACAAACGAGATTACTGTGTGATGGTGTCCTCCCCGGGGTGGGATGGGTGGGTAATAAAGGGGTTAGGTGTCAATTAGAACGAAAGTTCTGTTCCTTTCTCCTGCCATTCCTGTGGCGAATGAATTAAACTTAAACTTAAATCCCATGATCTGATTGTGTATTCTCCCCTCTAGCTGCCCATATATCAGTCACCAAAATTTGGCGTTAGTTCAAGATAACAACTTCTACTGGATAAGTTTGAGTATTCTCATAACCTGTTTATTGGATAATGTATGGTATATTATAAGGAGAAGTTACATGTTAATCACTCCTGGGAGTTAGAAGTTTAATAAAGGAGAGAAAACACCCACTGTCGGGAACTTGAGAGAGAATATCAAAAGCAACTTGGTAAATGAAAAAAATAAACTACTCAATAACTTTTGTCAACAAATGCAACAAATATGTACATGTCTTGTTGACCACTAATAAAAACAACAAATTTATGTGTATAAAAATCCAAGGTTTTTGCTATCATAGTAATGAAGATGTTACTTACCTAGCTTTGTGTATTTATCAATTTCCTTCATCAGATCTTTCTACAAGGGAAAAATGAGCAACTATTTGTTTACATACAAGTGATTTACTTAGTAATAAGATTGCATACATTCAAAGAAGCCCATCTCTATAAACTTGAAAAATAGACATGTTTGATTTTAGGCCACTCCCTCTCATCCCCTCCAATTACCTCCCCCCTCCCCTCCCCCCCTTCCCCCTCCTCCAGCCAACAAACCTCTTCACAGTCACGATAATTCAAACATTACAAACAAAGGAACTTTGAAAACTAATTTGAAACATTCTAAACCAAGAAGATCTTAGACCACAACATATAATAATTATCTAATCTTTGTTACCAAATATAAGTTCAGATATAAACTATTTCTTATACACTTTTAAAATCATTTATAACTAAAACCTCAACATTTTAAAACACAAACCTCTTTCATTCCTTTGGCTGGTAGCTTAAAATTACATTTAAAAAAAGAAATCAGTACATTCACTAACACAAACAATTAGTGACATAGTATTAAACATAAACTAGTTATTGAAGCAAACTCTAAATTTGCAAAATGATTTTCATCCAACGATCATCTTTTATTTAACAGGTCCCAGAAGGTAACATGTTATTACTGGGTAAATCACTTTCAGAAAGGGAATGCACTTAGTCTAGTATGTGCGGTATATTCCAGGAAAATGCTGCATAGCAATAACATTAAATAATCTATATAGTACTGTACAACTAAACAAGAGTGTACGGGTTACTGCAGACGCTTATAAGCTCGTAAGGTTATAAATAAGCTTCTCGCTACTGCTAACTTACTGCACGTACCTCAAGCTACAATCCACCTTTAACAAAGTGTAAACATTTGAATTTAATGATCTGTTCAACTCGTATTTGCCTCTTTTGCCTTGGTAAAGTTTATTGAGTTTTAAGCTTTTAGATGTAATATTTACATGGTCCTCCAAAAATGACTGTGCTGGTTGGGCAGCTATTTGACTCCTTTCACTGACAAGTGGCATGTTCATTGATTATACTATGTCATGGCAACCATATTACCACCAAAGGCTACAAAATTCTGACTTTAAAAACAGTGACCTTGTAGCCCTGAATAGTATGCTACCTCTTCCACATTTTCTTCCAATCAAGTTTTTTTGTTCAACTATGTACATCTTTTATAATATCTTGCTAAATCATTGAAAGCAGGACAATTGGTAAGAAGAGCAACTGCATGTATGTATATTTAGATGTTTGTATATCTCTACATATAGATACATAATTTATTGTTACATACTCTGGTAAAGAAGGTCTCTCCAGGCTTCACAGGAAATACTGTTTTGCCCATTTCTTCCACAGTTTTATTCATTTCATTGGCTATCTGTGGTGGACCAGATAAACAATTTTAATAAAAAAAAAAAAATTTCTGACATACCAAAATAATTATATGCAGTGTATTTGTTTTGTGTTGATCAAGGTCTCTAGCACTTACATGTACTGTCAACTCACTTTGACTTGGGTAATTCTATTAACTGTTATATACTTTGTTGATACCTTTCTTTCTAGTGCAATGTTTGTTGTGATAAGTCCCCAGTATAGGTTTTAACTCTTTAAAATCTTATTACACAGGCATGTGTGGCATGACAAGGAGAACAGAGAGGTCCTGAAATATTTCCTCTATAACACTGTGTTATGCCAATCTGAAACACTCAACCTCACCCTGAAAAGTGTGTGTGCTACTCTTAAAGATCCTCACCTTATCTTTTACAAAGGGCAGT